AACATCATGCTGTATTGAAGAAGACTTGAAACTAGAGATTGAGACCTCTTCCTGGTTTTAAGGACCTCTGACCCTGGTGTTTGTTCTTCCTCCCTCAGTCGATGAACATCCTGGCGTCGGTGCTGCTGCTCTACGCTAAAGAAGAAGAAGCTTTCTGGCTGCTGGTGGCCGTTTGTGAGAGGATGCTGCCGGACTACTTCAACCGCAGGGTCATAGGTGAGGGGTCAGAGGTCAATGTTGCGCTGCGTTTACCTCCAGTAAGCTGCTCCTTGTTCAAAGTCACGTAACTGCCGTGTGTTTGGTTGATTGTGGTTGTTTTGGCAGCTGATCGGACGCCAGACAGATTATTTTCAGCCTCGTTTCCTGTGTTTGTGAAGCACTTTGTTTACGCTTTTAAAACAATTTCCTCTTCCTTATCAGTAATAGATGTTTGTGTTTATCCTCCTGAGAAGTTATATTGGGAGCATTGATTTGAGGCTGCAGTTATTTAATCTCTTTTATTATTAACAGTTTCCTGAACGCAGAAGAGATAAAAACAACAACAAAGCGTGTCGACCACATTAGTAAATACAGAATCATAACAGATGTTAGATAATCAGACTGTCTTCAGTCAATACTTCCTAATTGTTTGTTTTTGTTGAGAATATTAAAATGATGAAATCACATGAACATCATATTTTTAAGCAGATTGTAATTCAGAATATAAATCAACAACTCAGACTGAATGTTCAGCTGTTGCTGCCATCTAGTGGTGAAAACAACCTGCTCCATCAGAATCACTTCACTGATCGATCCCTCGAGGTTATTGATATCTACAGTTTATCTTATAGATACGCATATAGAAATAAAGGGTTAAAGGATCTCACCCTCTCTCACACACTGTCTCTCTCTATCTCCCCCCCCCCTCCCTCTGCAGGAGCTCAGGTGGACCAGTCAGTGTTCGAGCAGCTGATCCGGGAGCGTTTGCCGGAGCTGGCCGAACACGTGCCGGACCTCTCCACTCTCTCCTCCGTCTCCCTCTCCTGGTTCCTCACCCTCTTCCTCAGCGTCCTTCCCTTCCACAGCGCCGTCTGCGTGGTCGACTGCTTCTTCTTCCACGGGATCAAAGCCATCTTCCAGCTCGGGCTGGCGGCGCTGGAGGCCAACGCCGCGCAGCTCTCCGCCAGCACGGACGACGGACAGGCCCTCATGATTCTCACAGGGTAGACACACTTGTGTTATTAATACTAACTAATATTATTAATCTTATAATATTGTGTGGTCGGGCAAATTTCACTGAAAATAAAAATCTTTTTTAAATATGATTACATCTAATTCTAATAGTAAAAACACCTGAGATGTGATGTTAAGGCATTAACGTGTTAGTAGCTCTTTATCCACTAGGGGGCGATGCTTTATCGCTCATGTATCTAATGAATAGAAGTAGAAGAAGAAGTTTTTTGTCCTTTTTAATAAAAGTTTGCATCGTGTCTGGATGATTTCAGGAAGCTTTTCTGTTTGCAGAAAACTTTAAATCATTTTTCAATTCATTGAAAGGAGAAGGAGACATTTAGTTAAAATATTAAATTGAAGGGAACAGCTGTGTATGTATGTGTATATATTAACTTATCCATATCTTGATTTTCCAAATATCTCACTGTAACTGTGAAGCCGACTACAAATATTCCTAATTATTATTTACATTTGTTCCCCTTTTACCTTCTCTAGACGTAAAAGCTTTTTCTTAATTATTCCCTTAAAAAGAAAAAAACTTTGAATAAATCTGTTTCAGTACAAGATACTTTCTTTTTTTATTATTTTAATTTTTCCTGGCTTTGAAGATGCACTACACCTCTTTCTTTTCATTATGTTCTCATGGCTTGTGTGTCTATTTATATTTCCTGTGTATGTGATGATGTATTTGTAAGTTTATAAAATAAACTCTTTCTTGTAGTTTTCTGGATCAGGTTGGAAGTGAAGAGTCGTCGTGTCCTCCGTCTTCGCCGCCTGCTGCAGAGACCAGCACCACCAGCACCACCAGCAGCACCACCACCAGCACCACCACCAGCACCAGCAGCGGCACCGATATTCCCGCTGTGAGAAACACAAACATCAGCGACCTCATCAACGAGTCCTACGAGGTCAGACGCACAAACGGCTCCTCTTTAAGTTATCTTAATAAAGTGCGTCCTGTTTACGACGTACTATGATATTTATACCATCGACGTGGAGGGAGGAGCTGTGGGGGATTATGGGCGGATGATGAGGACTTCAGATCTGTTTCAGTTTATCTTGAGGCATCGCTGCTCCTCTCTACTTTATGTCCTCATGGCAGCTGGTTTGCTGTTGTCCTGAACCTCCAGTGACTCTTTGTTGTTTCCTTCATCAGAAATTCGGAGACCTCACGGTGAGGCAGATCGAGAGGCTTCGCTGTCGACACAGAATCCAAGTGCTGCAGGCTCACGAGGACACCACCAAAGACAACGCCGTGAGCAGAGCCGAGCGCACCGTCGTGTTTCAGGTTGACGTTCAGAGTCCAGCGTCGTCTCACTCCTCCATCTCTTCCTTGTTTCTGTGCAGTTGAGGGTGGTGACTCCAGATGTTTCCATGTCTCCAGAGAACCTGTCTGATGTTTACGACCTCTTCAAGGTATCTTCTCATCCAGTAAACCAGTTTCCTGTGTCGGTTGTGTCTTTGTGCGTTCATACCGATCTCCTCCTCAGACGGAGCACTTCATCAGTCTGTACTGGGGCGACAGCAGCTCGGCGGTGGCGGCGGAGGCGGCGGCGTGGTGTCACGGCGACTCCGGTCGCTCCTACGTGGAGCGGCAGTACCGGCTGGACCGGCCACAGTTCAAGAGCCTTTACGGGCTGCTGGTGCCGTGGCCCGGAGACTCCAACCAGCACGCCGACACGCTGGCCAACCGCACCTTCACCCTGCTGGACCAGGACTGTGACAGCCTGGTCACCTTCAGGGAGTTTGCAGGCTGGCTGGGTAGGTAAAGGGGGGGGGGGGGAGGAATAAATATTGATGAATAATTGTATAAAATAACCCTTTATTGTCTCTCGCTCTCTCCCTCTCAGACACTTTGTACTGTGAAGAGCTGAATGAGAAGATACGGCTGCTCTACCGTCTGCACATCCCACCAGGTCATTTATTCTGTTCATATCATGAGTCTCAAGCTGCTGGCAGAGCTGTGATCCTGTGATTTGTGTTTTTCTCTATAATTTCACTTAAAACTGTTAATGTTAGTTTAGCACTAAAGTTCTTGATTAAAGTATTTTATTCACACAGGAGTGTGGACATAAATAGACTTCACCGTGTGGTTATTTCATATATTTATATTGCCTCAAAACATTCTATATCGGGATTTATTTATCAAGATATTAAATAACCTATATCGTGATGCTAAAGTTGAACGTGTGTGTGTGTGTGTGTGTGTCTGCAGCTCTGACTGAGAGTGAGGATGACCCCTCCCTGATGAAGAGCCCCCTGATGTCCTCAAACAGACCCCTCTGTGTTAATCTACCCTCTGGTTGGTACAAACACACTGTGATTTATTAGCGCACATCAAAAATAGACAAAACGACGCGTTAAGTGTGTGTGTGTGTGTGTGTGTGTGTGTGTGTGTGTGTGTTCCGGGTGTTGAAGGCGAGCAGACGGATTACCAGGAGCAGCTGAAGCAGATGCTGAAGGATCTGGTGAAAGAGAGGGAGCGAGATGTGGAGAAACCTCTGCCCCTCATGAACCAGGTACTGTTGTCCTGCAGAGAGAATCTCACCAATCTGCTCCACGTGTTCTCTTTAACTCACTGTTCTACACAGCACCATCTTATATCATATGACATGCTTATTTTTACAACATGCTACAAAATGACTTTTTGACTCGGGATTAATTCTCCAAAATGTTTCTAGTACTAATGATTGTTTTTTTTAGTGGTTTAAGAGCTAATCTGTCATTTAGTTTATTGATCATAAGTTCATCCTTTTAAAGAAACCAAACGATATATTATGTGATAAAACACGACTATAAGCCGTCTTCCTCTCCGTCTCCACAGCGCCAGTTCATCCAGTTCTGTAAAACGCTCTACAGCATGTTCCACGGCGACCCGGAGGAGAACGAGCTCTTCCAGGCCATCGCCACCGTGACGAGTCTCGTGCTGCAGATCGGTGAGGCCGGCCACCGCGGCCCCGGCTCGGGGTCGGAGGTCACCACCACCGAGGACGACGGCAGCGAGTGGACGGTCAGCTACGCTCAGATCCTGGCGTCGCTGCTCACCGAACAGGCGCTGGTGAACTTCTTCGAAGAGCCGGTGAATCTGTGTTTGAAGGTGGCGGCGGCCAAAGTGAAGCAGTACCACCAGCGGGCGGGTTTGCTCTCTCTGCAGCAGGGGAGCAGGTGACTCATTTCACCACAACGTCAGATCATCCGACACAATGTGACCGAACGGAAGCTTCAAGTTCACTGTGACATTTACTGGATCAGGAGTAACACTGGACTCTTTGTCCTGGAACTGACAAACACAAAGGAGTCAGAATTCAATCAACACATCGACGGCAGCGTCAGAAGACGGCTTTGTGCTCTGAGGAGAAACTGTAATTATTGCCTCCTAACGTCACCACGATGAGGCCTGATGTTAAACTCTCTAACGAGGCGCCGTTCAAAACAAATGTTTTATAAGTTGTGACTAATTACTTTATTAAAGGTCGATCAATAATAATTTACTAATTCTGTAGAAGCCATTAATAACTTGCCAGGTTGTGAAACATCTCTGGTGACTCATTCATAAGTTCATTAATAAAAGGTGACGAGTGTCTCACTTCCTAATTAGCCTAAAATGTATAAATATCATTAGTGTGTTTTGCACATTTCTTACTTCATAGGAAGCGACAGACAAAGTTATTAAATAATCTGTAGTTAAAAATGTAAATGAATTGAGATTAAAGTGTTTGTTTTTTTTTTTAATCGTAAATGTTAATAAATACCTTTTGATCCAGAAGGTCAGAGGTGAAGCGCTCCATGTTGAGCGGGTTACCTGATAAACCACAGCTGGAGGAGATTTACACAACCTGGCAACCCAAAGAATGTCTCCTATTACTCGCTTATAACTGATAAAGGCGTTAATTATAACTCGCCGTGTGAATCTGTTATATTATTATTGTAAAAGGTGCCTTATTGGGAAGTCGAGCCGATAATCCTCACAAAGAACGAACAAATCTAGCGTGCAGATCTTTTGTATGGATTTTGTAAACGTCTGTTTCTTTAATATTAAATGATTTCAAATACACGCACCTCGAAATAAATATATTTTTTTCAAATGATTGTGAAAATAACCCACAGCAACAGACTGAGTAAAAGAAAACAAAGACGTCATTTCTCTCAAAGCAGAACTCTCTGATAATCTTTACACTTTTGTTTTCATGTCATTTTTTCACTCTGACGTCATTTCCTGTTGAGCTAATTTCTGTTTGGGGGAAGTTTTTATTTTGAATCGGAAGCTACAGTAAAAGAAGCGAGGAGTTAATAAATATGCCGATTTTACAGTTGTGTTGGGGATGAATTATGAGCTTTTTAACTTCCTAATATCTGTTTTATATTAACGTGAACACATCTCCTTCAAACTACTGGATTTATTCAAGTTTATCACCAAAACTACATTTTACAGATGACACGTGAACACATAACGTTATAATGTACCTTCAGCTAGTACTCATTTTCACTGAGCAGAGCCTGAAGGCATCATAATGTAACTGAAGTGAGCCTCCGTTGGATTAGCCGTTAGCAGTGCTGCTAACGTTACTAGCTCTCCTCCTGTTGGTTAGCCGTTAGCGGTGCTGCTAACGTTACTAGCTCTCCTCCCGTTGGATTAGCCGTTAGCAGTGCTGCTAACGTTACTAGCTCTCCTCCTGTTGGTTAGCTGTTAGCGGTGCTGCTAACGTTATTAGCTCTCCTCCTGTTGGTTAGCCGTTAGCGGTGCTGCTAACGTTATTAGCTCTCCTGTTGGTTAGCCGTTAGCGGTGCTGCTAACGTTACTAGCTCTCCTCCTGTTGGTTAGCCGTTAGCTGTGCTGCTAACATTACTAGCTCTCCTGTTGCTTTAAACACTGGTTGGTTGTTTACAATGAAACATTATCAGAGACCAGAAACACGTGTTCTGAGTGTTGGAGAACGATAACCACTGTGGCCTAAAAATGTTTAACGCTGAACTCAAATTCACAGAAACGTTCACAAATCAAAGTTGTCCTGAAACAGAAGCACAGTCACCTAAATGTAACTTGAGGATCAGTGTAACTTCTGAATAAAAAGCTCGGCTTCTCTTTGTTGTCTTCAAATATTATTCAGTCAGAGGAAAGAAACCAGAAAGTATTCACATTTAAGAAGCTGCAATCAGAAAATTAATACTATTTTTTTTTTTTAATCGATTATCAAAATACTTAGTGTTTGATTAACTGAATATTGTTTGCATATTCTTAACTTATCTTATTAACTATCGGCTTCAGAAAGTCTCTAACTGGTTTGTTTTTGATGGAGGAACCTGCTTTACAGAATCAGAACCATTCAATGAGAAGGTTTCTGAAGAAGTGAGAATGAAAGGACGGAGGCGGAGTGCTGCAGGAGCTCGTGTGCTTTATTAGCTACTCATCAATGGGAGGAAAGAAAAACACACATTCTACTCGTGGCCGGCCGTCAGTGTAAAGGAGGGAGACTGAGGCTCGACGCGTACGACTCTTCAGGAGCGGCTTCGTCGTTTCATCGTTGTCGTCTTTTCTTTGTCTCTCCATAGAAGTTCCATTAAAGACATAATTGGAACTATTTGAGAAAAGTGTTTTTATATATATTGTTTTTTAAATATACAAAGGGCGTATTGGTGGTGGTGGTGGTGCGTCTCAGAACAGTTTAAACAAAGTAAAATGTAATTCGTAGCATTTATAATCGGTAATATTTATATGATGTTTACGTCACATCCACAGGAAACAGCAGCACATGAAACATGACGGTTACAGAGCAACTACAAACTACAGACTACAAACTACAGGCTACAAGCTATGCGGCCGATCCGTTTTCGTCCCGTGGATGTGTCGATAGGTCGGGTGCGTCGTCTCTTAGATGGCTTCGACGTAGTTGGCCGGCAGCATGCCGGTCTTGCCGGTGCGCTGCACGGTGCCGTACATCCAGCCCTCGTCGATGGCCTGCACGTTCACGATGACGTCGCTGTCCTTGAAGGACACCTCGTCGCTGTCGGCCGCGCCGTAGTCGTAGATGGCGCGCACCGTTTTCTGTGGAGAGTGAAAGGAGGTCAATCAGAGTGTGTGTGTGTGTGTGTGTGTGTGTGTGTGTGTGAGGTTGGTGATATTCTATATTCTTCTTGTTAAGAAATAGCATTAAAATAACAGCAATTTTATAACATTTTCTACTATGACTTTTTATGACATTTTTGCAACACAATATACTACATTTGACTCTTTTTTACTTTTTATGACATACTTTACTGGTTCGGTCCATTCTCCTGAAAGCACCTTTAGAAACACCCAACTAGCAACGTGAGAGTTAAACCACTGGTGCTGTTGTGTTGCTCATGCAGCCTGTGTAAGCTAAATGAGTGTGTGCGTGTGTGTTACTCACCCCTGTGGTAGAGGGGTGTGAGGGGACGGAGGACACGGTGGTCTGCTGCGTGGCCACTGATGAGGACCTCTGCTGCAGCTCCACAGTCTTAGCGTGCTGGTAACCTGCACAGATAGGAGTCAGATACGATGACCCTGCAGTGTGTCGATGCTAAACCTCACATGTAAATCCTAATATCAGACGCGGCTCACGTACCGATGGAGGTGGCCATGAAGCCGTTGCTGTAGAGGGACATGTGGTGGTCGGCGTCGTGGGACACCTCAGACTTCTCGTCGCCAACGCCGCTCAGAGCGCTGGTGGAGCGGGAGTGCTCCTTACTGCGACGCTGAGCGTGAACTGACGTGAGAAAGATACGGTTCTTATGGTCAGACATCACATTGACAGCATACTGGAATAAAACGTGTTTATATTAACATATTTGTTTCTTATTGAGCTGAACTTAATTGGTCTATAAAGATAACAAGATAATGAATTCTTCCTAAATCTATTTATTAAGAGTTTTAACGTCTCGTGTGAATGATTTATACGTGAAAATAAATAAAACAAACTATTTCTTTAATGTGGATGATTGAAATATTATTACATAAGATATGATTTACATTATATATGATAACAAGCACTTTAAAATGTCCTTTAATGTGCATTAGAGTGTTTATTATTCACTAAATATGTGTTGAAGTGTTGTTTATTTGACATATAGATGCTAAATGTGGAGTTAAAACTTATTTAACAATATTGTAAACCGTGACAAAGTAATTCAAAACCTAATGCTGAGAGTTCTATGAATTCATTTGAACATCAGAGTGTAATTGACAGTGTTTCAGCTGTTATTACCGTGTAATACTTATTGATGCATAACACAGCTGACCTGATGTCTGGTGTCTCATCTCACCTGACATCATGTGGAGACTCCTGGACTGGATGTTGTCCTCCGCCGGGTCGTAGTCGAACACGGAGCCGGGGTTTGTGCGCCAAACACGCAGATCTGAGGACGCAGAGTCAAACACAGGACCAGAGTCTTTAGTCTGTTCCTCTTAATTATTATAGTTACATACATGACCAACTCTGGGAACCAGGACGGCCATTTAAAAACACAAAGAGGAGACGACGCCACTGACAGGCCACCAAATGAAACGCACGTTACCTAAATGACAGGTTTTAAACTCGTTGGAAACATTTGGGATGATGTTAACACACACCTCCATACAGAGTTATTATACCTTTAAGTTCTTTAACAAGCCTTCAAAGCCGTCTTTGGTCCGTTTCTTTACACTTCAAATGTCTTTTAAAGTACAACTCTTTGACTTTTATGTCGATCTCTTTGCATGTTAAACCAATGGCCGTACCGGTGGTGGTCTCCTGGTCGTGCTCGATGGCGCGCCTCCTCTCCATCTCCACCACGCGCCTCTGGATGCCGCGGTAGTTGATGTTGCTGAAGTCCTGCGTGTTCTTCTTCACGCGCTCTATCACCAGGTCGGAGGCGGTGGCAGTGAAGCTGCCTTTGCTCTTCTCAAAGTCCTCGTGGTACCTCACCTGAAGAAGATCACAGATCACAGCCACAGTTACAGGAACAGTGGGTAAGAAAGGGAATATAATATACAGAACTATGTTTTCATTTATTTACAAAGACCTGCAACTAAGAAATAGTCCTTCAGAAATGCACTTTTCACTCCTGTTTGAGTGAAGCTGTCTTAGGAAACTACTGAGCCTTTATTGGAATTAAAAATGCTCATCTATGACGTGTTTTTGAAAATGAGATAGACAGAAATGTGGGGCTGAGATCCACCGACAAACTAGCACCAAACATGTCCTCAAAAGAAACAAAGACCATGGAATCTTACCCCGGAAATGTTGCGCTGGGTCTCCCTGACGCGCCTCATCTCAGGTGTGTCCAGAACGAAGGCGGCCTTGCCCTGGACCTGCTTACGGAAGCTGTCAGAGTACAGCACCTGGTGAGGAGGAGAGGGGGGGGGAGGAGAGGACACAGTGAAGTGAGCTGTTTCAAACCTGAAGCCGTCGCAAAGCAGACGTTTAGCGGCACAAAGAGGCTGAATGGGAAGACGACACACATGGAATGAGCTGGGGGGGGGGGGGGGAGTTACTGGGATTCCAGACGGATGAATTAGCATTTTTTTATTAAGAGGCTGAAAGATTAAAGGATTCCCAATCTTCAGTGGGAGGACGGCAGGGGGAGGAAGATGAAGAGGAGCAGCAAAGCTTAGCGATGATGATGTGCACAGACGCACCACGGCTGAAGAATTAATACAAGAACCAGAGCCAGTTAGAACGGGTTAACGTGAAGGGGGGGGGGGGGGGGGTAGTACCGAGCTAATGTTTTCTTGGTTCCTTTTGACTCGCTCCATCTCTGGGGTATACACCACAGGGGTTCCCTTGGCTGAGCTGTCTTTATACAACACCTGGAGGACCAAAGCACAGCGGCCCGAAGAGCCAATCAGACACGACACACACTCAGAACACACACACACACACGCACACACGCACACACACACACCTATAGGACTGGTTTCAGAGACTCCGACTACAACCCTCTGAACCCCAAAACCCGCCGGCGGGACTGAAAAGCATGTGTTCTTCAAACACATTGTGTGTGATGAACGCAGACGAAGAAGCCAAAACAAAGCCTCAAAATGTGATATTTAATCAGGGGAGGAGGGAGGAGAGGGAGGGAGGCAGGGGAGAGGGAGGAGAGGGAGGAGTGGAGAGGAGTGGAGAGGAGAGGGAGGAGAGGAGAGGCTGTAAAACGTGAATAGTTCTTTCTAACATCGGTAACACTTGGACACTTGGAGAAATGTTGGATATATAGATGACATTGTTTTCCGATTTTTGTAAAATAAGTTATCGAAGAAATTCAACTTGCGTTTTTTTTGTTTTTTATGATTGGTGTCATCATAACTGTGTTGTTCTGCACTAAAGACATGTTCTAGTTTGCTCTACTTCTATTCATGATGGTTCTGTTTCCATAGAGGAGCAGGACTTTATGTTACTGACCACAGAGAGAAACATGTGACGCAAAACACGCCCAGAAAGGGCTCAGGGTTCAGAGGGTTAACCTTAAAAAAGATACAGACAAAACAGGATATTTCAAATAAATTGAAGTTTTCGATGGAATAAGTTTAAACAGCGTCTGAGAAATTGGTCCTATAGAGTTCTCTATAGAGTGACTTCTCCTGGTCGAACAGCCAGGATCTCTGTTGTGGGAACAAAACACAAAACACACTCCTAACACGCTTCAGCAGGAGATTTAGTTTGTCGTTAGCTGTACAGTGGAAAGAGTTTGGTTAATGTGGAAATAAAAGCTGTGTGTTAGAAGATACGGGACATTTGGGGGAGGGGTCAAAGAGGAGGGGCCAAAGAGGAGGGGTTTGAGGGGTTTGATGGGTGAAGGTTAAAGATGGAGGGGAGGAAATGAAGGGTCAGGAAACGGCAGAGAAACAGGCTTAAGAAGGGGATGAGCACTACTAATCCACTCTGTTAGGGAGCACACGTTGGGTTTGTTTGTTTCTTCTACCGAGCTGATGTTCTTCTGGGTTTGTTTGACCCGCTTCACCTCCGGGAGGTCCGGTATCGCCGTGCCTCGACCCAGAGAGTCCTTGTATTTTATCTGCCCAACAAACACCGGGTTTGAGGTTTTTAGAGAAGAAAGTGGAGGAAAAAAATAAGTAAGAGAGACAATCAGAGAGAAATCCAGGAAGACAAGGAGCAACACAACATACCAAAAGCAACCACAGCAGACATGAAAGGTGGAATTAAACAGAGTTTCTTCTGAGGAATGGAGAAGCGGGTTATTAAAGAGGTTTAGCTGAACCCCCATCGAGGCTCATCGGGGTTAAATCTGCATCTAATACATCTAAAGGCTGAGGAGAGTTTTGTTATGTTTGAGGGTGAGGAAGGGTGAGGAAGAGGTGAGGAAGGGGTGAGGACAGATGTAGGGTCTCTCTCTACCGTGCTAATGTTGTGCTGATTGCGTTTGACTCTCTCCATCTCGGGGGTCTCTGACACTGACGTGCCTTGTTCCACTCCTGCTTTGTATTGAATCTTATGAACGAGACAACACAAAATACAAAGACGTTAAATATGACGGTAGCACTCAAAGGAGGTTTAGTTTTATTAAAGAATCCAGGGAGATGGAGGCTTATTTAGGATGTTGTTGGTTTGAGGTCATCAGCGGAGGCTGATGAACGAAGCAGTGATTGATGAGCTTTAGTTAAGATGGAGGAGGAGGAACTATTACTGAAGACACAGGAAGTAAAGTCCTCAAGGCTACGGTCGAAAAGTCAAAAGGTTACCTTCTAACGTCCTTTCCTAACCACTTCTCCTTCACCTCTATGGAAAACGTCATGAGGTCAAGGAGACATGTGAAGGAGACTTCATGAGGAGTTAGGAAAAGAGAGACTCAGACTCCACTCTCACTCTCACTTAAACATGACTCCATGAATGTATTATTGAAGAGCACTTAAACCTTTCACTGATGCTTCTTCTTATTGAGACTCTGATCAGTGACACTTTGCTATATTTACTGTCAGTTTTGTTTCATGTTCAAAGTAAATAAAAACATATAAATGAAACTAGCTGGTTGTCTCTGTCTCTTCATGTTCATTATGAATCTCATGAGTTTATGACTGTATGAATTATTAAACCTGTGTGAGACAAACATATCGTTTGTTTTCATGCTGCGTCACTTTAAATGTTGCYGCCGCAAGGAATTGTGGGTCGGCATCGTCTCCTTTCCTTTCATAAAGGAAGGTCCAGTGTTTCCTATGCTAAAGGAGATAAGGAAAGGAAGCATTGAAGCACCTTTCCTCAGCTCTTATCATGGCGGACACTAAGATGCTTCAGTGAGGAACCTTCATGAGATAAAGAGGACCGTTCGACCGCAGCCTCAGACTCTGGGAGGAGGAGAGGTCAGAGGGCATTTGGGGATGATTTTAAGGGATCATTTCAGATAACTGCAGTTCTTTTCTTCTACCGAGCTGATGTTCTTCTGGGTTTCTCGGACCCGCTTCACCTCAGGCAGATCTGGGATGGAGGTGCCTTGACCCACAGACTCCTTGTACTGAATCTGCCCGGTTGCATAAATTACACAGAAACAAAGTCAGACGACATAGAGACAAACAGGAGCACAGCGTGTACTGAAGACACAGACACGTCCATTCATTCACAACACTTAACAACTGACAACAACACGCTGTTAGTAAAACCGTATCTCAGTGGGAGCGGAGTATGAGGGCAATAAATAGGTTTGTTATGCTTTCAAATAGATGAGACATCATTTAGATGTAATGAATTAATATGAATAGAGTTCCAGTTAATGATGAATAGTTTGCTGTATCACTAAGAGCCTTAAACTACAAGTACACAATGTACTGTACTTTGAACTGTGTACTATGAAGACTAAGGATGATGTATCAGGACCATTGGAAGTGAAAACTGAGCCGGTGACAATATTCTCTGAGATTTACAATAAATTGTAAATTTACCACAAAAAGAACCTCAATTATATTCTGAGAGTTGAATCGTGAATTTACGAGACAAAAACCCTCAAACATTCTGACAATAAAGTCATAAATTTACTGGAGAAAAACTTGGATATTTTCTGAGATTAAAATCGTAAAATTATGAGAAAAAACCTCAATTAATCTGTGAGTGTTAAATCAGAGATTGATGGCGTGATGTTATTGATCTAACTTTACAAAGTGAAGCCGGTTGGTTCCTCGACAAACAGCACAACACATGTCCTTTGTTATTGTCTCATAATTTGTGATTTTAATCTCAGAGAATTTCAGAGTTTTTTCTAGCAGATTAATGACTTTAAAGTTTCACAGAAAATTCTACTTCTTTCGTAAATTTGTGCGTTTATTTGTTCTGAATCACAGAAAGAGTTTTTCCTTTGAATATTACCTTCCTTGGCTGCGTAATTTGCGTATTTGAACTACAATGGTCCTCACACGCCGTCATAGAAACAAGTTATTATCTTGCAGTGATGAAGTATAAAAATACATCTATAAGTTTCCACAAGTTAACAAAAATGAATTCAGAGCGTTGGGGCTCAATAAAATCCTATAATTAGTAAAATAAATAAAAATAATCCAAAAGTAAAATAAAAATAAATGTGTGTTGGATTGAAGATGTGTATTGAAGGGATTACTTGTAGAGACAGGTCTGGTTTTGTTGCTGGTCTCTAGATAAGGAGGGAGGAAGGAGGGAGTAAGGGGGGAGTAAGGAGGGAGGAAGGAGGGAGGAAGGAGGGAGGAAGGAGGGAGTAAGGGGGGAGTAAGGAGGGAGTAAGGAGGGAGGACTGGCTGGAGGAGGTGATGACGGAGGGTAGGGTCACTGTGGAGTACCGTGCTAATGTTGCGCTGGTTGTGTTTAACTCTCTCCATCTCGGGGGTCTCGGGCAAAGACGTTCCTCCTCCCACCTCCTCTTTGTACTGAATCTTTACACGGACGAGGAGTGAAAGCAGCAGAGCAGCGGTTAGCCTGATGTCAACTCTGTCATACATCATGAGGACGAGGTGATAGAATAAAGTCTACACTTGATTTAGCTGCGTTGTGACAGAAACACACTGAATGAAACAAACAAATCCACATTCAGAGGAACACATACTGTCAACACGTATCTAACAACACACAAGCTCTGCACTAACGAGTCTCAATGTTACACTAGAGAACAACGGGTCAGGGGTTAGTAGCGTGAGTTAGACTGCTGCAGAGTCTACCAGGTTAACAAGAAACATCAGTTTGGTCCAAAGAGAGAACGGCTGCATGTCAGGGTTTGTTAAAGAACAAATCAAACCAAGAAAAAAGTGTTATTAGAAAACATTAAAGTAATATTATGTCGTAGATACCAAGCTGAAATTCTTTGTATTCTCTTTAACACGGAGCATTTCAGGAGTGTCCTTTATAGTAGACACTTTGCCCATTATGCTTTTATGGTCACTCTGGTATTGATGCTACGGGGAGAAAAACAAAATGCAGTTAACATGTTTGACAGCGATAAAGAGGTCAAAGAAAGAGAAACTACTTGTCCATATGAACAGAAACATGAACCGTAGCTTCTGCAAACATTGACGGCAAAAACTGAATTTACAGCTGGATTCATTCATTAAGAGAATGCCGTAGAAAAGTATAAAGTATTGAAGATAATACTTTGAGGCAGACATGGAGACAAACACAGAGGCACCAGAAGAACCTCTGTCTTCATACTGAGACATGCTGCCCCAGTAGAACCAGAACAATTCATCGCTGACATGGTTCTACTTACAGTGCTGAAGTTCTTCTGGTTCTCACGGACTCTCTGCATCTCCGGAGTGTCCAGGACGGGAACATAGTGACACATGATCTTCTCAGCTTCCTCTTTGTACTTTTTCTGTTGGACAAAAACACAAACAACAGCAATATTTAATTAAAATAGAGAGTTTTAAACAGTACTTCAGTTGTCTCCAGATATTTTCTAGGATTGGTTTCGATTTTATAACCCGACCTGGCTGATGATGTTCTTCATCTGCTGAGCGTGGAGGATGTCCGGAGTGTCGATCACACTTGTGTAGCTGGCCCTGTCCATCTCAGCGGTGTGCTTGTATTTAGACTGAGGATCAGAAAACATCAGTCAGCACAGATTCTGACCTGGAACTAAAACCAGAAGCACAGATGTGAATATACCAGAACTGCTGCATGGAATATTTATGTATGTTCCCACAATCAGGCAAGGCTTACTATTACTTTAGGGCCCGGCAACATTATTTCAGCTTCCTCCATCAATGGACAGCAACAAATAACAACCTCCGGTGGTGAAGAGTGAAGTCAAAGCTTCATGTGTTAAAGCTGCATTCTCTCTA